CAAACATATTTATGTAGCTAAAATTAGTTTTAACTAATGTTAAAAGTTAAAACTAGTTTTATCTAAAATCAAAACATGTACAGCAGTAAATTAACTAGACAAAACCAGTTTTGTCTAGTTAAAACTAGAATTTACTGCTAGTCAAAAATGAATTTGAGTTAAAACTAGTTTTAACTAGACAAAACTGGTTTTAACAAAGACATCCAGTATAAACTAGTTTAAACTTGTTAAAACGCGTTCTAACTAAAAATGGGTTTTGACTGCAACATATACATCAATACTGAGTGTCCTACTTATAAAATGCTAAAAATTGAATGATGTAGAAAGTTATACAAAATTTACATCACCAAAAATATAAAATGAGTTAATGAAATTGCATTGTCATTGAAAATCTTTGGATGTTGGAATTGCTGATTGAAACCTACTAGTGAAGAATAGAGAAAAATACAATCAAAAATATAATTAAAAATAGTACAGTTGACCCCCTATAACATGGGTCCATATAATACAGATTTGTATACCGCAGCAAAAAAAATTGCGACCGTATTCGTATAAAGACGCTAAAGGAAACTCGTAAAATGCTGTAAAACGTCATCGCCAACTCGTTCACGACAGGATCAGTCGAATCAGGACCAATAGTGGACGAGCAGCTGAACTACTTACACACTATGGAGAGTTTAGGCGGGTAAGTTGAGTTTACTATCGTCTGTACAGTATATAAATTATGTACTGTAAGTCTAATACAGTACTGTAATTTTATGCATTTCTTGTGAAAAAAATATTTCTTATTCAATGGCCATAAAAATTATTTCTATTAATGATGTCTCCAAAGTTCAATGAATCTTTTGCAGAAAAATAACTTATCAGAAAACGTGCCCGCCGTTTGGTGCACTGCTCTGCGACGTAAACAAGCTTAAGAAATAGCATCGTCGAATGATGCACACTCGGTAAGTAATCCTACAATTTTTTGTTTATAGCATAGTTTATACGGATTATTCCCAAAAAATTATATGTGCTTTGGAAATGTTGAGTCAAATTAGCCTAAAATCGATTAATTTTATGGAAGAAAACCTTTCAAACAGCCATAGTCTGTAAACTGCACACATGCCGGGCTGTGATTGGCTCATATATTTATGGATTCCTAAAACGTGAATTCTTATAAAGTGGAACGTATCTACCGCATTATAGGGGAGTCGACTGTACAGAACACTCACTTGCACTCTTTACACTTGACACCAAAAAACATGGGTTTGTCACACAATTGGCATATTGTGACCTTCAGAGTTGGAGTAAATCTAAAAGAAGTCATAAATTTTAAATAATAATATAATGTTTTTACCTCAGTAAAACAAATATAAAAGTAAAAATTATGATAATAATAAAAGCACTAACTATTACTTGTAACCCAGTTAAAATGAACAAATTTATTATAATAACGAGCAATTATTTATTGGGACATCATCATAATGCCAGGCTGCAATTTTTAATTTATTTAATCTAAAAATATATGATCTCCACCTCAAATTAGTACTGTAGTGTCTTGCCCCTGTACAATCATACTTTTCCTTTAACAACAGAATAATGCCAGTTCATTAATTAACTACTTTCAAGGGAAAAGTTTTGAATCAAAATAATATGACTTGTAGTTTGCATTGGAAGTTTCTGTATAGTTAATTGGGGCCTAAGCTTTCCACATCTAGTCTCGATTTTCATCTATCTAACTCCATTCTCAAGATTAAGGAAAGACAGAGTGACAGATAATAGTGGAAATTTACAGGTCTACAATTTTTTCAAATTGCAGCCCAACAAATGTTTTTTACCATTTTTAAAAGCCATTTTCAGGTTATGGGATGTTTGTTCTTATAATAAATTTGTTCATTTTAACTAGATTACAGATGATAGTTGATGCTTTTATTGTAATCTCATCCAGTTTTGCAGTATTGTAAAAATTATATTTTCTGATGAATTCTCAATGATCTAACTCACAAATTAATTTATTTTCTATTGATTATTAATTTTGATATGTGTGGTTTCAGTGTGTGTAACATATTTGTAAAACCAATTAACCAAATATATTGAGGCTACCTGTATTTGAACATTTCTTTTTTAATATTCTTATACTTTTCCTGAAGATGTTAAGAAGAAATGTAAATGCATTTTTTGGATTGTTTTTATATTAAAAGACTTTCAATAAAATGATGTGATTCTTCAGTTTCTATCTAGATACAAGTTCTTCTACAATAAAAATGTGACATAAAGTAACAAATCAAGATCTATAATAATGGATATCACATATAAGATACAAAGACTGTGAGTAAAAGACTTGGTAACACATAAAAAGAGCTTCAAATAATATCTCTCAAATCTGTAGTAAATAAAGTGTAGATTGTTTGCATTGCGAGAAACATACAAATCTAGCATGTTTCTTGAAAAACACAACAGAGCAGTAATAATAGCCACAAGTTCACAGTATCCCAGAGTCTATTACTCTGTATTAATTCTGTAAAAATTTTCTCAACAACTATCTTACAGCATCAAGTCAACAACAAAATCTTATGCGACATATATTAAACTACCAAGTAAATTTTCCATCTGATCACCATGCATATTCTTGAAACATTAAAGCTCAATGGCATTAATTTATCATTTATTTGTTTCTAGAAAATTAATTTTATAAAATCAGAACTACAGAGAAAATTTTAGTTACTGTGATTAAGTCTTATCTAATGTACAAGTTTAATACCTTTCATGCTTATTTTAATTAAAATAAATACAGTAGAGCATCATTTATCCGAAGGTCGGTTATCCGAAACGTCAGTTAACCGAAAGCATTCCAGTCGGCAAATTTAAATTTTCGCTAATGCTGTGGCGCTGCAATCTTTGGCTATATCTTGGGCTACTCCAATAATTTTTCTTGTTGGTGTGTGTGTTTTAGCTGGCAGCACTGGCACTTTTGTGTGGTGTTTTTCTGAGGACTGTGTGTGGTCCTGAATCAAACATTTTTGATACTAGATCAACTTCTAAAGTATATATTTTTTGGCTTTTATATTTTTATATTTATTTTGTTTGCACAAAATAAACAAAATAATATTTAACAATACAATAGTCACAATTAATATCTTTAAAAGTTTACATTAGGCTTAACATTGACGAAAATTCAATGCAAAGCAATACGCAACGGAGAAAAATTTCAACATGGGATAGGTTAATATATTTCTTCGTACATAATCAGTTATCCGAAAAATAAGTTATCCAAACAACTCCAGTCCCAGATTTATTCGGATAAACAACGCTCTACTGTAATTAATATGGAAATATAAAACTGATTTATTTTCAAATGCTCATAATTCTATGACATATAAATGAAATCTTATAAGGTATTTTTAAAACAAATCAATAAACCATTCAAAAAAAACATCTACATATAAGTAAAACTTACCGATGATGTATCGAATGACCCATTCCTTGCGTTCTTGGAGAACGAGGTACGGGCAAAATATCTATTGTTAAAAAAGTATGGTACAATAAAATGTTCCGAGCAATTGCTTAAAATATCATATTATTAAAAAAAATATTATTATAAATAATTAAAAAGTTAAAAACTCTAATATTATACATTTGTATATTAAATAATTATAATTATAACTCTAATAATACAGGTTCGCTTTTGTTCTCTATTTTATACTGGAATATTTGAAAAAACAATCTTTTCAAAATCATGTTTTTGAATATATACATTTGTTTGTTTGCTTGCTATACACTCCTAGGCTGTTCTATTGCTTCAATTGCTATAAAACTTTACAGTTATGTTCACATACTTCTAATTTAGATAATGTTATACATCCCACCCCAAAATATTGAATGGATTTCTATAAATCAATTCATTTCTATTTACATTAGATTTGTTGGCTTTACACATAGCACTATCTATTGTCAAAAGTTTAAGAAAATAATAAACTAAATATAATTCTTACAAAAAAAAGATACAAGTTTAAAAAATACATATTATAGTCACTTAATTACTATGACAGATATCATATAGCACTTGCATACATGGAATCAAAAGTGGTAAAGTCCAGCTTCCCATGAAAGTCTTCCTGGAATGCATTAACTTGGCAGATCTCTCACGTGTTGCATTGCCGTAACCAAAAAACCCAAACTAATTCTAACAAGCAATTATTTATTCTGACATTATCACAATGTCAGGCTGCAATTTTTTGTCACAATGTTTTTAATTCTTTTAGTAGTGTCTCACTTTTGTACATCTTACTTTTCCTGTTAACAATAGAGTCGTGTTGGTCATCTAACTCCATTCAGGGGAAAATTTTGAATTGAAGTAATGTAACTTCCAGTTCAAACCGGAAGTTCATATTTAGTTAATCTGGACTTACTGCCCCTATGCTTTCCACATCTGGTCTCGACTTTCATCTGTCAAACTACATTCTTCAGATTAAGGAAAGACAGATAAACAGATATGAGGTCAGCAGCGGGATTTATAAGTCTACAATTTTTTCAAATCACAGCCCACTAATTTTTCTATAAACGTGATATTTATGAGAACATACTTCCCACTTAGTTTATACAATCTGCTGCAAAAGTATAAACATTTTGTTATCACATAAAAGCAATTATTCTGAAACTTTTACAAAATTTTTTTTAACAAATCATACAAAGTCTTTTGGACATTAAGGCTAGCAACTTTGATAATGTGAGGGGCCATCACAACCTATCCAACACAAATCACTTTTCAAATATTAATAGCAGACCAGTATTAATTAGTAGTCATTGACTACTAATTAATACTGGTCCAGGAGAATGACTACATTTGATTGAATTACTTCAGCCCCCTTCCGCAACAGTCACTTCTTCCCATCAGACCAGCAGTATGGTGGCATTCAAATAGGAAAATTACATAATACAAGGTTATCGACGAGCACAAAATATGTTTTAAGTGGTTTTGCAGGGTGCTGAGTTTAAATATTTGATTCATTCTTTGTGAAATTTGATTCCTTGGCAGATTACAATTTGATATTCTACTGGGAATGGAGCAGTTTGTTATATCTAACATTAGAAAATATGCTGTCTACTTAACCAATGAAATTGTGCCATTTTGTACCATCCACGTGACACAATAAATGTGATAATGGTAGACTGAAATAACGAAACTCTTTATATGATTTTGGTTTTAATATTTCTTATATTATAGTATTTGATTTATATAAGTACAAAGGTTATTTTACATAAGGGTTTATCATACTGAATGACCAATCTAACACATTTTAAAAACTCTTTATTCCTCTACACAATTTAAAGAATTTTAAAATATGTTAGATTGAATATTTATGAGATATGTTAGATAACACATTTTAAAAATTCTTTATTCCTCTAGTTACAATTTAAAGAATTTTAAAATATGTTAGATTGAATATTTATGAGATATGTTAGATAACACATTTTAAAAATTCTTTATTCCTCTAGTTACACAATTTAAAGAATTTTAAAATATGTTAGATTGAATATTTATGAGATATGTTAGATAACACATTTTAAAAATTCTTTATTCCTCTAGTTACACAATTTGAAAAATTTTAAAATATGTTAGATTGGCCACACCAAGTGACCAATCTAACCCTTATGCAAGATAATCTTTAGTTTTTGAGTATATGTCTCTTTAATCTGAATCAGTAAAACACAGTAGACTTTCTCTCAGCTATAAGGTTAGGTACAGTAATACCTCGACTTACGCTACCCCGACTTACGCAAACCCAGAGTTACACGATTTTCAAATCTTGTCGATTCATCTTTTGTTTGAACGTCACGCAACTCTTGATTACTCACTCCCCCCACACTATTGTTTAGCTTACATGTTCGGACACATGTTGCGTGGAATCGATGCATAGCTACAATTTATTTTGTGTTTATTTCTGTGTTTGTTATATCTACGGAAACTTGAGAGACTCTATGTGATGATTTCTTGTAACCGTGAACAAATCAAAAGGCGAGATAAGGTTAACAGGAACATTTATTAGCTTACATACATCAGATTTGGATTTTACACAAATTGCGAAAATATACCCCGACTTACGTGAATTCAACTTACACGGTTATCGCTCGGTCCCACCTATCGCATAAGTTCGGGGTATTACTGTACTCCTTTATTGCAAATCACAAATGCATTTCGGGCCTATATGAGCCCCTCTTCAGTGTAAATGCTACATATATAAAGCATAAAAAACAAAAAATTAATTTACAAATTTTTCACACAAAGATGATTTTTACAGACAACAAATAAACTTTTTACATACCTCAGAAGACAGAGCAACGCTTTTCTAATTATATGACACTAACAATGATATTTTATATAATCCAAAAACACATGAATGTGTATGAACATGATTGTGATTTGCAATAAAGGAGTACCTAACCTTATAGCTGAGAGAAAGTCTACCATGTTTTACTCATTCGGATTAAAGAGACATATACTCAAAAACTACATATTCATCAGCTACCACACCTCATATTGAGAAGATTCTTTACCCGAGCAACTCCAGGCTCATCTGTTAGTTCCAATGTAAAACAGAGAATGAAAACAAACCTGATACAGATCTTAGCTGTAGATTGAAAACATTTGTCTAAAATTCTTAAATGGTTCTATATAAAGGTTTTGAAGTGTTTGATAGAGTTTTCTTAAGCTGAACACACACTGATGCAGAAAAAACATCTTTAAACAAAATTTTTTGACTAAACATGCTTAAAATTGTTTTTTAATGGCTTATGTAAGTATCAATACACACTGATGAAACAAAATGCAAAAAATATGATAAATCTGAATTAAACACTTTCTGACAAAATGTTTTGTCTAGAAACATTTTTGTATGAGCAGTGTGTATGTTGAAATGTCTTAATATCTGGCAAATTTTTTGCATAAGGACATTTTAACCTGAAGGAAGCAGTCTCTTATTGGACAAGATTATACATACAGTAGAGCGTCGTTTATCCGAATCAATTGGGGACTGGGGTTGTTCGGATAACTTATTTTTTAGATAACCGATTATGTACGAAAAAATATATTAATTTATCCCATGATAAAATTTTTCTCCGTTGTGTGTCACTTCGCATTGAATTTTCATCAAAGTTAATCCTAACGTAAACTTTTTAAAATAATAATCGTTGCTATTGAATCATTAAAAAGTATTTCTTTATTTTTTACAAACAAAATATATATATTGAAAAATAAAAACAAAAAAGTTAATCTAGTATCAAAAACGTTCGATTCAGCACCACACACAGTCCTCAGAAAAACACCACACAAAAGTGCCAGTGCTGCCAGCTAAAACACACACACCAACAAAAAAATATTGGAGTAGCCCAAGATATAGCCAAAAATTGCAGCGCCACAGCACTAGCGAAAATTTAAATTTGCCGACTGGAATGCTTTCGGTTAACCGATGTTTCGGATAACCAACTTTCGGATAAACGAAGCTCTACTGTATTTAGGTATGTTTAAACTTGTCAGAAGTGAAAACACTAATCCTCCCTTGAAGGTCTGTAAGGAATTGATTCCGACACATTTTAGTTTGTTCTGGGGATTATTTTTAGTTTTATTTAATTCTTTATTTTAGGGTATTTCATTCTGTTAATGGATAGACTGCCATACCCTCCTCCGTTTCAAAATGCAAAAAAAAAAAAAAAAATGCCACAGAAAATGTTAATGATTGAAGAGACAGAGGCATCGATCCTGAAGACAAAGGTAAATGAATAAAAGAGGTGAACCTTTTTTAGCCCCAACAAGCTCTCATAGAAAAAGAAAAGTGAATTGAGCTTGCAGGTCTTTTCATGCACATGCATTTATAGCCAACTAGAAGCTTTCCACAAATAACTTGCATTTGCACATGTAGTCAATACAGAGATAGATGTAGAAAGGATAGTCATTTTAATTGAAGAAAGACCTTTTTATATAATTTTACAAAGAAAGATTGCCACAAAAAAACTGTTGTCAACAACCTGGGGGAAGAAATTGTATTAAAAAAATGTACATCTTATCTAAACACAATAACATTCTTTCTTCTCACATAATGCTCTTCCATAGACTAGTGTTATATTTTTGTATTTTATTAATTCATGTTTAATAACATTTAAAATATAACAATCAAACTTAATCAGGTAAAATTTCAAAATTTAGTTTCACTGTTTCTTAATTTATCTTCAAGAAATTTTTGAAGAGTATTTTCTTCAATTCTTTCTTGATTATTGGGTCATCCAAACACACATTTTGTCTTCCTGACACAGTTGTATCCATTACCACATAAAAATTGCACACACTTCTTCCTTGTCAAAAGACAGTGTGATATTATAAGGTGCAAAGAATTCCAACAGCCAATTACCACAAATGCATGGAAAAAATATAGCAAAACATTTTGTATGAAAATGTTTTACTTGATCAACATATGTCAAGCCTTACTGCATGTAAACCTTCAAACAGAACCAGATCAATGATAAAATATAATAATTTTCACATTCCAACATAGTATGTGCATGTATTTACACACACTACACTATATATAACTGCAACATATCTATTGACAATATATTATTTTGGCAATTGTTAAGATTTATTGATGTAATTTAAAAATCATTTTAATGTTTTATAAATGCCGATACTTACTCTGTGAAGGAATTTCATCCACAAAGCATCCATCACTCTGTTGATCAGGACTGATGAACGGGGGAGACCTGTTGGGAGATGACATCAAAGGAGACATCTGTCCAAACAGGCCTGAAGATTCCAGACCAGGCTCAGTGGCCAGTCGGCGCCGAGGAATATTCTCTCCCCTAAATAAAAATTTTTTCCTCAAAATAATATTCAAAGTCACCTATAATATAAGAATTTGTTTGAATATGTCAAAATCCACATATTAAAACATAAGGTTGAATTCTTGAAATAAATTCTTTACATGAGAAATATTAATTCTGAATTATGTTTGTATCTGATGACTTTCAATGTTAGTGAAATGAATGGTATAAAACTTATTATTACACAAAATAAAAGTCAGAAGTTTAAAAATACAGTGGTACCTGGTACTTCAAACAACTTTGAACATTTCAGACTTCAGACACTAAATTCAAGAGAAATTTGATCTGGAGTTTGAACAATGCTTCTACATTTGAACTGTGTATGCAGTGAAAAAATGCACTGTCCATGTAAATGCCATCTGTTGTGCACCCAAGTGTCTTGATCTCACTGCAAAAGCATTTCATATGTTATGCTTGTGCATTATTTTTTATGTGTTTTATCATATATATATATATATAGATATTTAGATTATTTATATTAGATTTTATATATATTTAGATATATAGTTAATATTATATAGATTTTATATATATATAAAATCTCTAAATATTAACCATGTCATCCAAGAAGTGTATGGAAGCAAGAAAACCTAAAATGTTGTTGTATCAATAATTGAGGTGAAAGAAATCATGATACATAAAAGTGGTACATACACAATAGATCTGCTGGCTACATTTAAGATGCCAAAGTCAAAGGCATGTGATGAGAAAATGCAATTTTCATTTTATTACACAGTATTTACATATTTTATTTATTGTTTTTGTATTTTAATTTACCATTTAGGATGTCTAATTGTGTTATTTTTATTTCAATTATGTGTATTTGCAATTTAAATTTATCAAAATTAGTATTGCTTAGAATCTGGAAACGGATTAATTCACTTGCCATCATTTCTAATGGAAAAAACTGATTTGGACTTGAAACAATTCAGAGTTTGGACAGACTCTTAAAATGAATTAAATTCAAAGTAAGAGGCACCACTGTAATTTACAATTAGTTTTATATTTAAATTGCCAAAAAAAAACATTAAATATTTTTTCTTAAATTCTTAACATACAAATATTGAATCTTATCTTTTAGTTTAGCTCCTCAATAAAACACAAATTTGTCTAGTCCCAGATTTAAACTTAGATCAATAAATATCAATTTATAATTTGGCAGAATATTGAAAATGTATACAATTTATGTTCTAGTGTAGTCAAGTAAACATTAGAACTGTCTAGAAAAAAGATAAAAGATGATAATTCATTTCAAATTTACAGATTTAGAAATATAAATAATTTATAAAATTGTAAAATTTGCAAATAATTTCACTTTTATAATTAATAAAATACAATTATAAAATTAAACGATATTTATTTGATAATTTTACTTTGACTGAATAGGGTAAAAATTCATAATACTTGTTTAACTATTTCTATAAAATACAAATTCTATACTCTGATGTTTATTTCCAACAGACTATATTTTCAAAAATTATTCTGTAATATAAAAATTGCTATTTATTTCATAGAACAATCTGAAAGTGCATTTCTTCCATTCATGAAACAATGTTAAAAGCAAAAGCTGATGCTCCTTTTTTACATTGTAATGCTGTTCACTGAGTACTTTTTACCATAAATGAATGAAACTACTCAACAAATAAATTAAAAGAAGCATTTATGTCTACTCAATTTTTGTGAAACCATTAAGAAATACAACAAAAATGTTTACTGTATAGTTGCTTACTATACTTTATAAATAACTTATTACTAATTATAATATATACAAATTTTAATAAGTCACAAATGACATAATTTAAAGTGTAAACAAGACTGATATTAATAAATTTGTTCTTGTAAAAGTGTTTTCCATAAACTTACTTGTTTTGTAAAGAATCCATATGTTCAATCCTGTTTGCTAGATGTTCTTCATGAGATTTGCTTTTTGTAAGAGGAAATTCCGGTAATAATGTAGTCTGGTGTTTCTTACTAGGTGGTGGAGTGGTGGGAAACCTCTTGTCTCCCTTCTTTCCCATTATCGGAGGAGTAGGTGGAGGCGTGTAACGACACTCTCTCGAATTTGGAGTCAGGGACGCGGAGCCATAGTTGGGAATTGTCGACGACAGACCGTGATACATGGCCGTGGAAGAAACCGATATATGACCAGAAGAAGAACTCATATGGTGCCCGTGATTAGACGGAGGAGAGACGGGAGTTCCCTTTAACAGTTCTTCCGAAGGAACGGACGAACGCGCAGCTCTAGTACGATGATAGCTACGAGGAGAAGTACCGACGCCGGAATTTCTGTCCCAAGATTCCCAGTGCAGTTCTAGATCCGTTGCAGTGGATACTTCCCCTTGTAACTGCCGATCTGTTAAATTATGGAAAGAAAAACATTAAAAACTTTTAGTATTCTTTTGTTTAATTATTTTTAGAGTTATTAAATATTATAAATTTTTAAGACTAAAAGCATAGCAACTGCTATTTTCAGCTCCTCTTAACAGCAAATGAGACAAATTGGAAACAAACAATAAACAAAAAGATATTGATCAAAGCAAACCAACAATTAGACAAAATTTTGGTAGAACAAATTACCAATTCAATCTGAAACATTTAGAACTTTTAACTACAATATTATGTTTCTTTGCAGACACACTAAGGTGACATATATCAACACTTGGCAACTTATTGACTATCTATTCAGTTGGATAAATAGTCCAACTGAATAAATAACCAGCTTAATAACAACACTAAGGTGTTGTTATTAAGCTGGTTATTTACTTACAACCCTACTTAGTGTTAAATAACCAGCTTAATAACAACACTAAGGTGTTGTTATTAAGCTGGTTATTTAACACTAAGCTTAAGACACACTAAGGTGACATATATCAACACTTGGCAACTTATTGACTATTTATTCAGTTGGATAAATAGTCCAACTGAATAAATAACCAGCTTAATAACAACGACACGGTTTCATCAGAATCATACAATATTATGATAAACTAACATTCAAGTATAAAAGAAAAAGACAGTATATAAACCAAAATAACAAATTAAGAGCTTTAATATACAATAATTCCAAGTTATTTATCATGAAGATAAGAATTACACCTCAATTCAATATTTTCAGCAAAGAAATTCAATCTTCTAACTTTTTGGCCACTACTTTATCAGCCCTCATCAAGAACTGTAAAATGGAAAAACCGTTCTATAAATAGAATGCTATTGCATTCTAAGTATAAAAGTTTTAAATATGCTCAAATACAGGCTGTGACATATCCTTTGACAGTGATAGTTCCAGTTTTCTGGTACAGTTAGTGTTTATTAGGTTATTTATCTTATATAAATTAAAATAAAATGTGTGGGAATCTATTTAAATAAATCCATAATTCAATTTTAGTGCTGGTTCCCAAAGTTCAATGCTGTATTCCATTTTATTACTACAGTAGAGTCTCGAAAATTCAGCCTAATGTAGACTGAAGGGTGGCCGAGTTTGTGAAAATGCCAGGTTATTGAGAATGGGGTTAAAAAAAAATAAGTATGAGTGTTTCCTCAGAAAATATTGTACTGTACTTGTATGTATTGTTTACTTGAGAATACAACAGAGAATAAACCCAAATTGCCCAAATACCCTTAAACAAAGGAAAAGTACGTCCTTTATGAAGACATAGAGCCTTTACTACACAAAAATGAAAGTTAATGAATACACTGTGTACAGTAATTTACCTGATAAAACAGACCTCAGAAAAATACTTTATGAGGCATAAAGCTGTCTATAATGAAAATTAATTAACTAAGGATTTTTTTGCCCTGCCAGGGTGTGGCCGAGTTATCCGAACTGCTGGGTTATCGAGTGCCGGGTTTTCGAGACTCTACTGTACTTGTTTTAGAAATTTATAAACAATTGGATTGTAACAATGTCAATGGCAAAATTAAATTCAGATTATCTGGTGGCAGCATTAACAAGTTAGCCTTTCAAAAATGGATACATCTTTTCTTGTTTGGAGAAAACCTTTGTAGGAAACTATATATTTCTTAGATTCTCTAGATTTCTTCAATTAGCTGTTCCCAATTAATATTTAATGTTATAATAATGATATTTTCACTGCCAGGCATATTGGCAATCACTATTGACCACACTGTGGCATTACCAACCTTTCCTCATCAATGATCACAAAACTATTCATAAAATCACCCAAACTCACTTACTTGGTAATTTCTCAAACTGATCCTCAGATCCCTTATTTTTTAAGAAGACAAAATTCTAAAATTCATTCACAAAACCTTTTAAAATCATCAACAATTCATTTTAATCTTCAAACACACAAGTTTTTGACCATTTCAAGATTAAATAAATTGTTGCCAATTTTAAAAGGTTTTGTGTATGAATTTCTGATGCTTAAGTCAGTTATTGATAAAATTCTGATAATTCATTTTAGTAAAGTAATACAGTAATACCCCGACTTACACGAATCCGGAGTTACGCGATTTTCAAATCTCATTGATTCGTCTTTTGTTTGAGTGCCACGCAACCCTTGATTACTCACCCCCCCACACTATTGTTCAGCTTACATGTTTGGACGTGTCGCATGGAATCGACACATAGCTACAATTTATTTTGTGTTATTTATTTCTGTGTTTGTTATATCTACGGAGACTCGAGAGACTCTACTATGTCATCCAAACGAAGTAGAACTAATTCTTCTGCATCAAACAAGAAAAGAAAAACTTTATCTTTGGAATGTAAAGTTAACATTGGGTATGTTCGTAAAGTCGAACGAGTTAAACGAGAATGACGTCATCGTTATTCCTATTTTGTTAGACTTTTTGAACAATTCGTTACTAACGCGTTTAACTTGTTTGACTTTATGAATGTGCCCATTATTAAAGACTTCTATACAAAAATGAAAATTTGTGAATTGGCAAAGAAGTTTGATCTACCGGAATTGTCGGTCAGAACAATTATAAAAGGCAAAGAAAAAATTCTCAAAGCTGTGAAAAATGCTCAATCTTTAAATTTGAATATCATTGGTAAACGTCACAGTATTATCGCTGAGATGGAAACAATGTTAAAATTATGGCGTAATAATCAAGTAAATGTGAAAAATTGTAAAATAATATAGGCCTAATTTGTTATACATATGTATTATGTAAGATTTTATTAAACACTTTTTTCTAAATTATTGTTTTCTTTAGTTTCCGGCCCCAATTAAAAATTATTTGTATGTATTTATATGCGAAATTATACACCGACTTACGCGAATTCAACTTACACGGTTACCGCTCGGTCCCACCTATTGCGTAAGTTCGGGGTATTACCATATATATATATATATATATGTAATGTTTGTTGAATTTGCTTCATGTCTGGCAGTTATCTGTTAGTTTTATTAACAACCATCAATATATACTGTAATATCAGACTTATTACACACAGAATAGGAAATATAGCCAGATTATAAAATTATAAACATTTATTGATTTATATTAATTGGAGAATGCATTTTGGACCTTCTTGTCCAGATTCTAGTGATGTTAACATCTGTGGCTGCATGGTTAGAAAGTTAACAATTGCCTTTCAAAAATGAATAAGATAGTCATCATCAAAATGTGGGCTGATGAGGGACAAGAAGATTTGAAATGCATTCCCCAGTTAAACCAATAAATGTTCATGATTTCCTAATTGTTCATAATTTGAAGTTTGGACTATTTACAAAAAGTCAAAATTAACTTTTGAGTCCATCTTTATCCTTATTACACTACCATAGAAGTAACAGTCACAAAAAATTTTCTGCTTTGAAGAACTCTTCTTAAAACACAGGTAAAAATTGGTAAAAAATCCCAATGGTTAAAAAAGATCAAGTGTCAGCCTTGACAGTACAGAGAAAGACTGACACTTGATCTTTTTTAACCATTGGGATTTTTTACCAATTTTTACCTGTGTTTTAAGAAGAGTTCTTCAAAGCAGAAAATTTTTTGTGACTGTTACTTCTATGGTAGTGTAATAAGGATAAAGATGGACTCAAAAGTTAATTTTGACTTTTTGTAAATAGTCCAAACTTCAAATTATGAAGAAATAAATCCTGAGTAATCACAAAAATTTCCTAATTGGGCTATATTTCCTATTCTGTGTAAAATAAGTCTGGTATTACAACAGATGCTGATGGCCATTAATAAAACTAGCATGTAGTGTTTTAACTATATATATATAAGTTAAAACACTATAGTTAATACATAAAACCATTCCAATAGAGGATGTGGTGGCTAAACTTACAGCTGGTACATGATATATGACTCCTATTACAAGATTTGGCCATCTCTGTTATATGTAATTCAATGTGAATATATAGTGCATTTTAATAAAAACAAAAAAAGACTCTCCAATTGAAGATTTGAAAATTCATTGTAACAATCTATTTTTACATCTTTGCATTTTATTTTAAAAATGTTAAGAAAGAATGTGAAACAGCTAACAAACTTGCATTTCTTTTGCATTCCTTAAATACCTTGTATACAGGTTAACACTCATTAATAAGTACTGGTAAAATATACAATAAACTCCCAACAATCTTTAAATAACAGTAAAATATTTAAAAATACTACAAACGTTTTCGACCATTATTTCTGGTCTTCTTCAGGTTAAAAGTTCTGAGATTTGGATAGCAGTTGTGCTTGAAGATTTAAACGTTTTTTAGTACGTATGAACAGTTGCGTATAGCGATTCATACTGCGCATGTGCACTAAATATAGCGTATACAAACGAAAGAATATATCAATATATTTTTACACACACATACAAAAAATGGTGGAGATCCGGATTAAATGGGGTCTTTGCGTTCATAATAGAGCTTCCAAGCATTAGAGATATTAATCGCATCCTTGGAGTTGATGCAGTTATTGTGTAACCCAGCTTTGTGTATTTCGAGAGTTTCTAGCAAACATATATGTTCTCTTTGGCATGATATATTAATTATTTGCATGTTATGCAGGTTAGCTCTTATGCCCGGGGGGTCGAAGCATAAGTAGATAAGGCAGTGGTGCCTCTGTTATGCTCAATGTCATACCTATGTTCGCGTAAACACTTATCTAGAGAACGTATCATAGAGCCAATATATACAAGGTCCTTTGAAATCTATGGTCCCTTAATGGAACTGAGTATACAGCTGGAGCAAATCTTATGTCTATGCGATCTTTGCAGTTGTGGAGGAAGTCATAAACAGTACTGCGCCTCTTATATGCAATTTTTTTGTTTGTAATTGCTGCAATTTCTCTATAAATAGGGTCCAGGTGGTGGTTATATTGAACCACAGCCCAAGATTGTGGACTATTCGAGTTGCTAGCACTTGTGTTGTTGTTGTTAATATTATGTAATTGAGACAAACAGGCATATGCAAGTTTATGAATTAATTCTCGTCCATATCCATGTTGTGAGGCTATGTACTGAATGTGCTGTAATTCTGCCAATGTATCATCGAATTTTGTAGTGTGTGTGAACACTCTTTTGGTTAGGGCCCTGAACGCAGCTAACTTGTAAGTCAGGGGGTCATCATAATTGGTGGAGATGAATAGAGGAGTATAGCATGGCTTATAATAGATATTGGTTGATATCTTGTCCCCTTCCAAAGAAATTCAAAGAATGATGTATAACATACTAGGTGCACAAGTTCTAGTTTCTATTGTGATGTTTTACATCATTCTTTGAATTTGAAAATGAGGTATATTTACAAGGAAAAGGCGTACCTATGGACAGTCCCACATCAGCGATTCTTTGTGAGTTGGTATTGCGACAATTGGAAAACAACATTCTACCCAAATTTCAACATCTTATTCTTTTATATGCTAGATATGTGGATGGCATATTCATCCTATGGCAGAAAAAACCAAACCTACAGAAATTTTTGGAAGCGATCAATGATAACCCCTACAGATTATTCCTACAATTAGACCAGGAGAGTGAAACTACTGTAAATTTTTTGGATGTTTCCATCACTTGTAAACATTGAGAAATTGGACCAATATATACAGAAAACCATGTTTTCAACCAATTTTAATTCCACATAACTCTGTTGATCCTCTTCACATCAAATTGGCAGCCTTTAAGATGGATAAGAAGAGCTTGTATGCATTGTACAAGCATAAATGACATGGTAACAGAGAAAATTACATCTTAAGAATTGCAGAACAACAAGGATACCTGAGGGAAATGATAGAGAAATTAATTACAACCTTTCAAGCAACAAAACATCAGCATACCTCATTGGACCAAAATCAAAGGGTGGTTTTAAATTATATCCCATTTTTAAGGGGAATATATAAGAAGGCAGCCAAGGCTAATAATCTCCAAGTAGTATATCGACGTAACCCTACAATTTTCAGAATTTTAAAGAATGATAAAAAACAACATAATTGTAATTCGGTCACGGGAATCTACTCCATCCCATTAAATGACCGTTTCAAATTTAAACTAGTCTATGTGGGAGCCACAATGCGCAAATTACAACAACGGCTCAAGGAACATAAATATACAATTGATAAGAAGCTCAATAACACCACGCTATCAGCTGTGCACGGCAACAGGATATTCATGTCCAATGGGAGCATGCATTAATTATCAAACCAACAACAAATACACACACAATGAAATATCTTGAAAGATTGGAGATTTTTAAAGCACACAAAAGAACCAGTTGCATCAACCATAGAGATGAGACGCAGACACATTGGCTATCTCATGGTGGTCTTTTTGTGAAGATTAATTTTATTAAGAGACATTTATTTGTTATTTATTTTATTTCTGTAATTATTTATTTTATTGTCCACAACTACATTTTCAGTTATTTATGTATTTATTTCAGAATTCTCATTTTCATTTATTTTTAAATTTACATTTTATTTTCACATTCTATTTTATGGTAACTGAGGAAGATCAGTTAAAATGATAAAAAATGTTTTTATTTTAGTAAATTTTATTTGCTGGATTGTTGAAGGATTGTTTTTTTACCATATTCTATTTATTCAGTATGTACAATATATGGGTATTTAATACTGTACAAAAATAAAAACAAATCAGTAAAAAGTCACAAGGAAATAGAATGATTCAAAAGTTAATTCATTTTTCATTACCTTGCAAAACAGTGCAAATTGAAAATGTTTATTAGACTCATAAATTAAAAAAACATTTTCAATTTTAATTTATTATTGTTTCAGCTGTATTTTGAATGTTTAAATCAACGTATTTAATAGCAAAAACATTTTTTCTAATAAAGGAGTAGTACTGGAAAAGCATGGATGGTATATTTTTTGATACAGTACAAATTTTATTTGAACATTTTTTTTCTTTGTCATATTTCTCAAGATATTTTGTATATTGATTAAATTGGGACACCCTATATATGTATAATTTATAAAAAATTAATTTTTGGAAATTTATGTATGAAATTTCTGTCTTCAGATTATAAGTTAAACTTGTACTTATTACCAGCAAAATTTGTTGACAAATCTAAGTTTACCTAGGCTTACTAGATTACCATAACAGAGTAGGTAAAGTATGGTATGAAGCTTTATTTTGGACTTATACAAAGTCAAAAAGCATTATATTCATTTTGAAATTAAGTTTATCAACAAAAACTCAAGTAAAAACAATAAAGATTTATGAAAAGAAACTTTCAGATCAGTGCTAGTTGTCTATACAGTGGGTGATCGGTTAACGAACATAATTTGTTCCAAGACTTTGTTCTCTATCCGAATTGTTCATTAACCAATTATTATAGATTTACCATAGGTTTTAATGGGAATTTAATTAATTCATTCTGGAGACCCTCAAAAATAAAAATTATATACTTTCTTACTACGTTTATTTATATGTAATAATAAAAATACATACATACACAGTCTTGTGCTTTTATTAGTCATGTTTTTTCCGTTTGAAAGGGTTAAAGAATCTGTCTAATGTCGATTGCTTTTCTCTTTTCTTCAGAATTTTTCGTAAGTAATTGCAATTGTAGAAATCCCCAAGCCTCAACTTGGTTTGGATGCCATTCTAACACTGTTGTTCTGACATTCTCCCACTTCTTCAAAGGATCTTTAATTAATAACAGATATCGTCATTAATCCTCTTTTTCAGAAGAAAATATATCTCGCCGAGTTTCTTGGTGTTCTTCATTCAAGAGTTCTTGGCATTCTTCTGTCGTCAGATCCGTTTCCAGTTCCATTACGAACTCTTCGACGTTCTTTATTTCTCAGATGTGATTTTTGTTACTCCTTTAGCTGCTTGAGTCTTCTTGATTATACAGTATTTTTCTTAGATAAGATTGAACTGCAGCCTATTGTAGACCTGTTCACGCCAAACTGCCCAGCAGCATTAGGTATCTTCTGCCCACTTTCTACCTTTGCTATTATACTCACCTTTCAAAAAGAAAAACAGATGCAAAACTTAACGAGCACCTACCCGACAGTCTCGCGAATACATAAAAGAATTGTTTTGTCAGAAAAATAAAAGGCTGGAATTACAAGGGAGAGTTTCAAAGTTCGAAGAAATGCTATCCAATCGGTATATACCGGCTTGAGCGTCGATTTCGACGTCTCCCACACTCCGAGAAGTTTCGAATTGTTGCCCGAAGACAAGGAAAGACCAATCGGTATTCATTATTTTACGTCACTTCTTCTTGTGTTTGTTCTGTGGGGTGTTCGTTATCCGATCATAAAAATCTTTCGCGAAAGTGTTCGTTATCCGATCTGTTCATTAACTGATCACCCACTGTATTTTGTAAAGGAATTGTTAAATTACTTAAATATTATCTAGTCTTCATTTAAGTAGTTTTAATATAAATTTGAGAAGAAACTTTTTAAAATTTATACAGGGTATCTCAAAAGTTGCTATTTATTATGAAAAATAACTAGAATTATGAAAAACTGGTTTAAACATGAAAAATATATTTATTTCAAAGTATAAGCATCAAAAAATTAGTGCTGCATGTGGCAACTGTCAGTGTCTCTACAAAGATTGAAGCAATAAGCTTTTTGGAACATACTTTCCAGCATAAAAACTCATGAATAGCCTTGTCTGTTAGACCTTTCTTATACAACTCCTCTTAATTTGATGAGCTTAATGAAAAAATTGTATCTAATTTTCTTGCAATTCAACTCTTTCATCTTGCATGTTACCACAAACTCTCATTCTTCCATGTTCTTCATCAGTGATATGGGTCTGAATGGAAAAATTTAATAATTGCACAAAATTTGACATAAACCAATTAATGTTTTTTTCATATACAAATTTGTATTAAAGATACATATTGTTATGACAGCATAGCATTTTTTAAAACACATGTACTGAAATAGGTAGTGAGTGACTTTTGAGACACCCTGTATATCCAATAATTTACTTTAACCTGCCATTACTCAAGGGTGAGCATTGCACTTGCCTTTTATTTTAAAACACTTATAACTTGGGCTTCTTGGAAGTTTTGTGACCAAACTATCTCCCTTTCTACCTGAGTATCCCTTCAACCATATACTGGAATCAGAAATAATAATCATTGTTAAATAACATAGTTAAAACATTTTCTTGAAAATATATAATTNGTTAAAACAATCAAAAACATTTTTTATTTTAATAAATTTTATTTGCTGGATTGTTAAAGGTGTGTTTTTTTTTATTGTATTTGACACTTATTTTAGTAGAGTCTAAATTTCTACTCTTATCTTCTCTTACCAAGTATAAAACAAAATTTCATTTTGCAAGTCACAAATTATTTTATAAATCAATTGGATAAGATATACTTCCACTAATTACAACTATTTTGCATTAAAATAAATTAAAGAAACTAATCAAAATGAAATGAATAAAACTGTGAGAACTGTTACAAGTGACTAATAGCTAAAATAATTTGTTTAGTCATTTAAGTTAAATACATTTTAAATTTCCTTCACATCTCTTAAGATATATTTTTATTTTTTATGAATATTAAAGTGTGAACAAGCACATAATCTGAAGACATCGAATAGTTTTCGACTAAAGGTCTACACTTAAAACATAGAGAAATGAATGTAGGTAAGTATACCTGTATAAGTTTTTAAATTACGTAGAGCAATGAGCATTCTCCTTATCTCTTCATCTCTGGCATTCACTTTATGCATGATTTCTTTCAGATTATGTTCCGACATCCGTAGTAACTCGTCCATTGTCTCTATTTCTTGCGAGATGCCCTATTGTATGTAAGTGATAATATTTGTTAATAGTATGTAACATTTATTTTATGGTTTGCCTTAAATATCTTTTTGAGCAATTTCATTTTTTAAATAAAATAGTGAAACTTTATAGTAATGTAATAAGTTGGAATAATTCTTTTGATAATCCTTTCTGAAATGTAAAGAAAATAATCCTCCACACTCCTTTATTGATGTGATCAAAAGACTTATTCGCCTATGCAAGAAAGCCTCTTCCACGTCCTCAAAACACTGGACCTTTATATATATATATATATTCAATGTATAACCTGTTAGGCAACCAACTATTGTATACTCCTGTGATAAAAAAGTATCAGAAATGGTTCAATAAAATACAAGATTTGAATTTATTCATCAAAATTTATTTCATCCCCTTCAAAGTAATCCCTTCCCAATGCAATGGACTGTACAGTACTTATATCAATGTTTTTTCCAATCCCCAAAACATGCTTTAAAGTCATTTTTGTGAAATCCTTTCAGGACTTGCAGCAAATTTTCTTTTATGGTTTCAATTGACAAAAAATGGTGATCACAAAGCAGATATTTTTAATCCAGGAACAGGAAAAAATCACATGGTGCCAAATCGGGTAAATATGAAGTTTGCAGAACTAATTTTTGGCCAAAAATTCACCAACAACAAGAGCATTGTGAGTGGGTATATTATTAACGAGCAAAATCCACGAGCTTTCTTGCCATAAATTTGGTCGTTTTCTACAAAATGTTTCATACAAACAATACAAAATGCTCAAATAATATTTTTTGTCACCAGTTCAGCCAGTCGAAAAAAATTCATGATGCACAATACCATGACAATCAAAGAAAACAGTCAACACAACCATGATTTTTGAATGACTTTGATGTGGTCTTTTTGGTTTTGCTTTGCCTTTCGAGTGCTATTTAGCTGACTGCTGAGTTGTCTCAGTGTCAAAAGCGTAGATCCATGTTTCATCACCTGTAATGATACATTTTAAGAACGACTGATTCACCTGGAGAAAGCATTTCCCCAGCCACTTGAACATATTTTTGGTAAAAATTCAATGTTTTCAGGACAACTCAAGAAGCAATATGTGACAAACTCAAATAATACTGGAACATGTTCATAATATTTCTAATTGTTAAATGACAATCATTAAGGACCAAATCTCTGAATATGTTCTTCATCAGTAGAAATGGATGGTCTACTAGAGCATGGTTCATCTTTGACATGTTCTCTGCCTTCCTGAAACATCTTGTACCACTCAAAAACTCTTATTTTTGATAGACTAGGGTCACCAGACTTTTGCAATCTTTCCAATGTTTTTGTAGCAGTAATTCCATTGCAAAAACAAAATTTAATGCACAAGGTTTTGATCGAATACACTCGACATTTTGAAAAATTGCTGGCGTAAAAATTCTTTACACACAAAACAAGTGTTTATTTGCAAATGAAAACAAACAACGACGTACAGATTGCTGCTATATGTCAACGAACGTCGTACCAAATGATGAGAGTGCCCTCTTGCACACGGGCAGTTTAAACGAACCATTTCTGATACCCTTTGATCACAATAGTATAAAACATTTGGCCTCCAAACACAATCTAAACCAGTGATAAGCAACCTTTTCTAGATGAGAGCAGCAAAGGAGTTTCATAGGCTTCTGGCAGTCTGCACACATTTTTCCTTACAGAGCTGTAGGCTTTAAGCCTGCTGAATAACAACATACTCCATAACTGCCAGTTATGGAGTATGTTGTTATTCAGCAGGAGTATGGAGCATGGAGTATGGAGTTGGTACTAAAATAATATGTGCTAATGATACATGAACAAATAATATATAATTTATTCTCATGTTTTCATTGGTTAAGTTTAGTTTGAATGTTTTTCATTACAATCATCAGCTTAATTAAAATTGTATAATAATACATGACAGAAAATGAGAAAATAAAATCATGTTGTCAAAGCTCCAGAGGTTGCAAGTTGCTCGTCACTGATCTAACCCTTACCCCATATAAAAGATTATTCAGGAAGCATATAATGAAAAGAATATGACTTCTAAGTCTTCTGTTCTACTATCTTGACAATTTTACTAAGGCTGGATGCACACTGATGCAGCAAAAAAGTCTTTATACAAAACATTTTCTAAAGGTAAAACAGTGAAGTGCACACTGATTAGTCAAAACATTTATGCTTACTTCTTAACCAATATCCGGCGTGAAAACTCCAAACAAAGATTGGCAAACGCTTTCGATGCCCCTCCTGGGCTCTTTGGGCTCTTCTTCAGGCCAAATTTACTGCACTGGATTTTTAAATCGAATGTTTTTAAATAAGAACGTGCTCAGTTACTAGAAGTTTGAATAAGGAAGGTAATCACGTGCCTTTCCAAATTATAATTTTTTTTATAAATTATATTCGTGGAGATATGTTGTGCGCATCCCATAATAATCTCTTGTATCTTATAGTCACGTGCTGTTTCTAAAAATAATTTTAACTGTTGGCGATACGATTTTAACTAATCACGTGCCGTTTCTAAAAATAATTTTACTAGTAGCGGTACGATGTGCGTATCTCCTAATAATCACGTGTATCGTATAATAAATTATGATTCATCATCCAATAGATACTGCCACGCTGTTGAAAGATTCATTTCTTCTTTAAGATTGATGCAGGTCAATTTGCGATCTGCTCTGTATATTTCCATCGCTTCCAAGGTTCTTAGATGTTCCTGATGACGAGTGGTGTGAATGATTCGTGCCTCATTAAAAATCGGGATTATGTCCGGGTTTGTTGCATATGTAGACAATGCTGTTGTATATTTGTTGTGGGTGATATCTGCTTTATGTTCCTTTATTCTAGTGGCTAACGGACGTTTAGTAGATCCTATGTAAATTAGTTGCCTCTGCCATCTGTCGTCTATTAAGGGAATGGTGTATATTCCCGGTAGTCTGTTCGGGTTATGGGCGTCTTTTCCGTTCCTTAATAAATTATATATGGAAGGGTTTCTTCTGTATGTAATTCTAATTCCTTTTTTCTTTGCAATTGAATTATATATCATTTTCATTTGCGGGTTGTATGTTACCGGGATTCTTTCCATATGTTCCTTATCAACTGTTCCTGATGTCTTTTCTTCATCCGTTTTACTGTTTACGTGAAGGCGCTGATTACATGTTTTTGTGCACTGAGAGATTTCCTCATAGAAAAAGTAAATGATACTAATCTGCACCAAGACATACTGGAATTGGCCCATTTAGCTTGTTATAGTTCGGTTTTCCAGTTCAAAGGAAACACATATGCACAAGAGAGAGGAGTGCCGATGGGAAGTCCAGTATCTGGGGACTTGTGCGAAATGGTAATAAGGGCATTAGAAACCAAAACCCTACCACCTTTTCTCCCAAACATAATCATGTATGGTAGGTATATAGATGACATTATAATTCTCTGGAAAACACCACCAGACTTAAGACAATTTAAAACAGCCATGAACGACAACCCTTATGGCCTTTATTTGGAATTGGAGCAGCATAGTGAAGAAAAAATCCACTACTTAGATATAGAAATTGAAATTAAAGAAAGAGCAATACAAACAAAAGTTTATAGAAAACCAACAACTATACCATCGTACATACCCATAAATTCCTGTGACCCGTACTCTTACAAAATAGCGGCATTCAAGACTTTGGTAGAAAGGGCCTATTCCCACTCTTCCACAACCTACGCTCTACAACAAGAATTAGCGTATATTAGACAAATCGCTAAAGACCATGGTTATGGCAACATAATACACAAATTATGTAATCAGCGCCTTCACATAAACAGTAAAACGGATGAAGAAAAGACATCAGGAACAGTTGATAAGGAACATATGGAAAGAATCCCGGTAACATACAACCCGCAAATGAAAATGATATATAATTCAATTGCAAAGAAAAAAGGAATTAGAATTACATACAGAAGAAACCCTTCCATATATAATTTATTAAGGAACGGTAAAGACGCCCATAACCCGAACAGACTACCGGAAATATACACCATTCCCTTAATAGACGACAGATGGCAGAGGCAACTAATTTACGTAGGATCTACTAAACGTCCGTTAGCCACTAGAATAAAGGAACATAAAGCAGATATCACCCACAACAAATATACAACAGCATTGTCTACATATGCAACAAACCCGGACATAATCCCGATTTTTAATGAGGCACGAATCATTCACACCACTCGTCATCAGGAACATCTAAGAACCTTGGAAGCGATGGAAATATACAGAGCAGATCGCAAATTAACCTGCATCAATCTTAAAGAAGAAATGAATCTTTCAACAGAGTGGCAGTATCTATTGGATGATGAATCATAATTTATTATACGATACACGTGATTATTAGGAGATACGCACATCGTACCGCTACTAGTAAAATTATTTTTAGAAACGGCACGTGATTAGTTAAAATCGTATCGCCAACAGTTAAAATTATTTTTAGAAACAGCACGTGACTATAAGATACAAGAGATTATTATGGGATGCGCACAACATATCTCCACGAATATAATTTATAAAAAAAATTATAATTTGGAAAGGCACGTGATTACCTTCCTTATTCAAACTTCTAGTAACTGAGCACGTTCTTATTTAAAAACATTCGATTTAAAAATCCAGTGCAGTAAATTTGGCCTGAAGAAGAGCCCAAAGAGCCCAGGAGGGGCATCGAAAGCGTTTGCCAATCTTTGTTTGGAGTTTTCATGCCGGATATTGGTTAAGAAGTAAGCATATTTGTTTTATATGACCCGGTGTGGGAGAAATCCTTAGTCAAAACATTGTTAAACAAAATATTTTAACTTCAAATTAATTTTGTTTGATGGTGTACACACACTCAAACAAAACATACTTTTTTCACACATATGTGACAATCTGCTGTTACAATTTCAACATTGTACTTCATAATACCAAAATGATGAAAGTGTATGCAATTCTTATATGGCATTGGATGCAACTGTGTCAGGAACAATACAAAAAGCATGTTTGAATGCACCCAATAATTTTACTCAATTAAGCTTTGATTTTTTTGATTATATTCTCATTATTATTAAAGATAAATTAATAAAAAGCAAAATTATGACACTAACCAAAAACAGAGCATTACACTAGAAGAAAGATTGCTTATTACATTAAGGTAAAATATGCATTTTTTTTAATACAATTTTACAGTTTGTCACTGAAATCTTTGTTGTAACAATTTTTCTTTGTAAAATCATATAAAGAAGGTCTTTCTTCAATTAAAAAATAACAAATCTTTCTGCATTTATCTTCATACCAACTGCACGTGCAAATGCAAGTTATACGTGGAAAGTATCTAGTCAGCTACAAACACATCAAGCATGCACAAGAAAATGTTTACCCATCAAGCGTGGATCTTCATCTGCACATGTGACAGATTTAAGTGTATTTAAACTCATATAATGACATCCGGCAAGAAACTACTTCCCTCAGATAAAAATGTCTTTATACAAATATTTTGTTAGATACTAAAACATTTCAACACAAAATTTTGTATAATATTTCATATAAATATTTTTGCTGCATCAGTGTGTATTCAATCTAATATTTCTTTGAGGTACTATCCACATAACCCCTTAGAACTGCAAAATGAAAGTTCAAGAGTTCTTTGTGATCAAAAGAAAAGCAATGTGAAAATATATCTTAACAGAAATTAAAATTGGAAACTTACCTCGATACACTTTAGGCTGAGCCCCACCACCTGTAACCAGAGTCGAAGTCGAGGATACTGTTCGAGTTCCTTCAGAGCCTCTCTGTTTGGACATTTATACTTAGCAATGAGTTGTCTACTGAACAACTTGATAAGCTTGCTCTGCAAATATTAAAAATATATTCATATACTAAATTACATTCATAATTACACAATTGAAAGAATAATAATATATAATTGCTTCTTTGGGTTACCAAGAATGATTTATTCATACAAAAAAAAATGTTTTTGGTTCTGCTAGAGACACATTAAATTTTCATTTTTTTAGACAGGCTTAGAGAATAGACTATTCAAATAAGATAATTTTAAAATATTAATGAACTTATCATAGCAAACAATAGAATGATTTCAAATGCTTGCATGAAAGTTTTATACATAAACTTTAAAATATTTTAGAACATTTGAAATAATTTAAAACTAGCAGAATATGCCAGACATTGCTCAGGCTTTTCAAGAGATGGGGAATTAGTGAGATCAAGTTGAGAAAGGGTGATAAAAACAATATCTAAGTAACTAAAATGTGCATTTACTGACCTCAATATTTACAATAATAAAACCTCAAAACAAAAAAATTGCTCAAGCTAAGGTTAACAGGGATTGGGACTCTGACATGTTTGTCCCATAGACTTAACATCGAACATTTGCCACTTACAATGCTCAAACCATTGCACCTTTCTCAAATCCCTCTTCAGTGGCATCATCTACAGGGTAAAGAGCTTTAATTTGATATGTGAACTCTATTTTTAGCTTCCCATCTATTTACTCAAACTAAGTCAGACAAACTGAAAGCCTCTTTCAATTAATATACAGATTTTTTAAGATTGTATTGCATTATATGTCTATACAATAGTCCAGTTTATCCCATATGCAATGCATATCTAATCTTTAATTATAGAAAATTTATAGCCCAGCTAATTACAGCAACCATTTGGTTGAGTACCCCATAGAAAGAAAAAACAGGACCAAGTTTTATGAATCTCCAGGTCACAAAAAGTTCTCTCAGTACTGTTAACAGCCATTTTGTAAAACTTGCTACCTCACAAACACATAACTACGCAAATGCAGAAAGAATAAAAAACCTTTATGAGTTTTCCTATCTAGCAATGCAAATATCAATACTGTCAGTGACACAAAACATGTAAAAAATAATGAAACCTATACAATCATTTTGAACAGCCCTGTATAACCAATTATGTATGGGCTTATTGTATTATGTAACCAATTAAATTACAGGGCGTATTGTTATTAACTAACTAAAATAAATTACTTTTGAAAAATTTATTTTGCTTAAGACTGGCATTCAATATTTGCTTATTTCTGTGGTGTCTTTGTATTTATTGCCTTTACATACTTGTTTAGCCCTACTATATACTGTATATATATATTTCTTTTAAGATACAAGGCCATTATGTACCTCTTTACACTCTTCTATTAATGCCAGTTTATCCCAACGAACAGTGGTACAGTCGACCCCCCTATAAGATCATTGATTTTTCTGTTTTATCTGAATTACATGTTGTACGAGTCACTTAGATTTTACAAATACGTGTGCCAGGCTGTGAATGGCTCACATATTTGTAAAATCTAAGTGACTCGTACAACATGTAATTCAGATAAAACGGAAAAATCAATGATCTTATAGGGGGGTCGACTGTATCTTTAATTATCCAACCATCAGCCAAATTAAATGGGCAGAAATTATGCTACAAATATTAATTAGATATTATATGATCAAAACAACTAGAGGTAGATGTTATGCACCATCTCTTAATGAAAATATTAAGTATAACTTAATTTTTTACATTTAGAATAATCTGAAATAGGTTCAGGTGGCATAACTGGTGCATCACATGGTAAACAGAAGTTACAGATTTGACTCCTGCTCTGGACTGATTCTTTTCTTCCAGATTATTCTAAATTTAAAAATTAAATTATAATTACCATTTTCATTAAAAGATGGCACCAAGGTCTATCTCTAATTTTTCTCTAATTGTTCTAATTATATAATTTCTAATTAACATTTATAGCATAATTTCTGCCTGATTAATTTGGCTGATGGTTAGATGATTATTTAATACATTGGATTCTTGAAATGTTTATATATAGTAATATCTTTTCTCATGTTGTTAACAAGGTAGTAACCAATAGAAAGTGTTCTTTAATTCTAGTTGTTAATGACTTTGTCATAGATCTCAGCCTATACGAAAAGAGTTCTCCTTAATAGTAGTTAATTTTATTGCTTAAATTCCTAATTTGGGCAATTTTTTGGCTGTACTTTTATCATTTTTTAAAAAATTCTGTCACTATGGAATCTCTTTTGACACGTAAGGAAACATTCTTTTTCTCTATAATTTAACTGCATGCACAGTACATAGATTGATTAAATTATCAGTATAAACAGTTACAATAATAATAATATAATGTAATACAATTGCAAAAAATTTTTAATTATTTAAAAATTTTGTACATAAACTTTCATGCAAGCATTTGAAATAATTCTATTATAGGCTGAAGACAGAAAATATGCTTGTAAAGTACAGTTGTCCCTTGATAATCCGACAGGTATGGGACCAAAGGTGTGTCAGATTACCAAAAGTGTCCGGATTACCGAAAATAATTACATATTTCGCATTGTTTTGCTAGCAGTAACTTACAATATTCTCTACTCCAACTGTTCGAACAGAACTGCTCACATAAAACACACGAAATGTGTGTCATCGAGTAAGAATTGGATGGGGAGATTCACATCGCGACATGCTTCTGTGCAAGCAGACACGTAACGGGGACAGGTACTTTGACGGGAGGTGCATCGGACTACTGAGCATGTCAGATTAAAAAACGTCGGACTATAGAGGGACAACTGTAGTAAAATCAGAATTACTTTCTTACTCAGTGTAAGATCAACAAAGTTCATCCTATGGGCATATTTTGAATGTCAATACCACACAGCTACAAAATTGCTCAAGCTCATATTTATGCACAGATATGTAATATGCTAGCAACAAAGAAAAAGTAAAGTATTTACAGCAGTGATTTTCAACCACTGTGCCACGGCACTTTAGTGTGTCGCAAGATTTTTGAAGTGTGCTGCCACTGCAAATAACATATATAAGCAATGTCAGACAGGTAGTTCAATTAGTTCTACCTTCCTACAACATATTTGGAAATTGTAACTGGTGTTACCAGTAACTGCCGATAGTTACCAAGGCATTTAGAAAACGTGACCTAAATAACCAACTGTTATGATGTCACCAATTGTCCTGCAGTACTTACCGAAGTAATCATATGTGCCACCAAATTTTTAAATTAAAAAAGTGTACCGTGACAAAAAGAAAGGTTGAGAATCACTGATTTACAGTATAAGGGCAAAGTTAATTCAAGCAACTGAAGAGGTTTGTCTTCACATTATTGCAAAGTAGAATTTCTACAATACTTAAAAGACAACATAAGCAAGACTTTAATAACTAAGCAAGTTAAAATTAGAAGCAGTCTTGTCAAGAAGTTGCAATGGATTTATCAGCAAGCACATAAAATGGCAGGTTCAGCTTCATCAAAAAATAAGATTCAAATAAAAACATTACAGAGACACTTTCTAAGGGTCATAAGTCTGTGCCACAAGATGACGAGAAAGTTCTGAAACATTGTCACACAACTAGAAAGTCTACACAAGGATGTTGGAAGAGGATACAAAGACAGCCAAACTTAAGCGATCTTCGAAACTTTTAAATCTTAATCACAAAATGCACATTCTAAAAAATATATTGGCTTGCTACAAAGTAAAAACATGGTGTAAGGAAAACAAATTCCATTCCATTCTTATCACCTGTATAAAGTATCACTTATACTGCACTTTCTATCATTTATCTGATTAGACAATTTATCTCCACAATTCACTGAGAAAAACAGAATAGTTGAAATATTCTGAAATGAAAAAAATGCTTTCTAAATTGGTTATTTTAAAAAATTTCAATAACCAGATTAAGGCCCTAACATAGTCAGTCAGCTGATCTAGCAATAAAAATGCTAAGCTGTTGTCACTAGTTTTGAAGAGCATGAATTTAAATATTACTTTGGGCACAATGTCTATAGTAATCATATTTTAATGAGGTTATTTGTTTGGATTTTCTAAAGCCATCAGTGTGGTGTTGCAAACAAACAAATTCAAACTATTAATCCTTGAAAAACTAGTCCAAAAATTTATTTTGCTAAAGACAAAGTGCATAAAAATACCAACAGCTGGTAAAGTCATGAACAGAATAATCTGTGTCATTTAGTTACAGTTCAGTATGAGTAAGTTTTATGATTCATGTAAGTCAAGAAATAATACCTCAAATAGCTAGATCGAATGATCCATCAAACTACTAATAAATAAATGATCCATTCTTACTAGTTTAAAAATAGATTGTCATTCTTACAACTTTTACCATCTATTAATAGTTTTACATGTCCGGCTTTAATCCGACAGATGCTAATAGATTTGAATCTTAAACAAATCACTTAGGTTTTATATTTAAGAAATAGCTTTTTATTATTAACACTATAAATTCTCCCATCAACCATGACAGAGTATTTTTTTATGAAAAAGTAGAGATTGAAGAATTGAGAAGAGCTTCAAGTCGAGCTTGATGTTGTGATTAGGGAATTCGATCCCGGTCCTTATTTCTAATCCCGGGATTTCGGGATTATACTTATTCAATCCCGGGATCATTTCGGTATTGAGGTTTAATAAAAAAATAAGAAAATCTTACAGAAATCAACAAATCAAAATTTAGACAAAAATCAACGTATTTTACGGTATACACCTAGTTAATTTAATCACTCTAATTAATCAGACTTACAGTCAGACTAACCAGACTTAAAATCACTGTCTTCATGTTAAATTTATTCTTTTTTAAGCATCACTGAGATCTCTTTAAACTCACATAAATTGAAAAAACTTTTATGTAACAAACTATGCAAATAAACGTTGAAAATTCACAAAAATCTCTCTTAACATCGACTAAATAGACTACTTTCATATAACAACCTAGTAAGTAGGTAGTAAAGTAAGTTTCTTAGGAAAAAGTATTTAAAAATAATATTAATCAGTCACATTTTTCTTA